TTCCGTGCACAAACTTATGGTTTGGCAACGGTAGAGCCGAATTCCTCGCAAAATGGCGGAACATAAGCGACCTTTCAATTTCACGGAAACGTCGAATGTGTTTCAGTCTTGCGTCGATCCTTGAAAATACGGGTGATTACCTTGTTTCCTTTATTACCGTTATTGATCATGTACCTACTTCAGCAGGGCGAAAAATCCACTATAATGAATCCTTGATCATCAAACTTTGTAATTTGAAGTTGCAAAGCGCATGCTGAACGTAGTAACGGAGCCTGTTAGTATGTCAAGCCTGTGACTGCTTAATGCAGGCACCTACTGAAAGCACCGCTTATAGACGTGGTTCTACTTTTTTGGTTTCAAACACAGTAGGTTTTCTTAGTCATACTGTTAAAATATTGTTCACGAACCTATGGTATCTGACGACCGAAATTCATCATACTATCAGATTTAAGTGGATCAATAGGTACAGATTACGTCTTTCATATTTCAGACTTTTGTTGATCACAAATCCAGTAGATAAGCTGACGTTCGTTTTTTTTTCTGTCGATCCCTTGACTGTATAAGGTACTTATTTTTCAGTTAATTCCAAGAATTATGTATGGGACGCACATCCTTTCTGCGGTAGATTTCTACATTTGCCCTCACTGCTTTTTGACATAAAGCTGTGATTGGTGTTTGAGATCATCACAAATAAAGTAACTGGTAGTTTTATTCTTCTTACTGAGTTTTAATATTTCCTTTTGTGATTCACGAACTATTTTTCCTCATCACTTTAGCGTCGAGTCATCGAATGAGTGCGAAATCAAGTTCTAGTGATGAATCTGAAGGCTGGGAGGAGTTAAATGAAGACGAATCACATCAATTCTCCTTTATCTGCCTCGTGTGCACTCATGCGTCAGCAAACAGCACGGAGTTTTTTGATCATTTGCAAAGTCATGGAGGTTGGAGTGATTTTCCGAACATCAAAAGCTGTCCAATTCACGATCAGTACGATTGGATCCGCTTCGTGAACTTTGTTCGATCCAAGGTTTGTTCGTGGTCTGTGAATCGCTAACATGCTTCGGCAATTTATTGTTTTGCAATATTTCGTCGTTCAGTGACCATTCTGACTACAGGGGGTCGTTACAAAAGTGTCAGAGTTTCTCTCGTTAGTTTTGTCCAATACGTAATTTTCAATTTTCTCTTCGATCCCATTTTCAACCTTCCTGTTTTCCTCCCATTGTTCACCCAAACGGGCAGCCAAAGGGCGGCAACCAAAAGCGTCGCACGGAAATGCATGCTTAATGGTTGTTTAAAGTAAAACTGAAACAAGTCTCCATCCGAACTGGAGGTTTTTCTAGAAATAAGTTATCTCAGAAGGTATAAGATTTCCTGCCCATCTGGGTTGTCCCGCTCGGTTTTTACGGATGGAGGGTCAGACTTAGTTTAGGGGTTGACGGAACTTTTGGGCTCAGTGTGGGAGAGGGAATAGGTTCCGACGGAATGGTGTGACTCCATCATCTTACTGATTCACAAGAAATACAACAGATCCTCTTGCGAAAACCGCAGAGGAATTGGTTTAGTCAACATCGTATTTGAACCTTTCCCTGGTATCGTACTCCATCGATTTTCTGTCGCACGCGAACGATGCACGCGTGAAACTCATGTTGGTTTTAGACCTGATCTGTCGGTTCTTCAGGAAGTGCTCTTGATTGATTTTTTAAATGCACCTGACACGAATCACATGTAGAAAGGGAACCACAGGCGTTTATATATAAGCTTGAACCAATCAGATTGTCTCTGTCCGGTATGCGAAACAAAAGTCTTATAAGGATCAACCGTAAAAACAAATCCAAACAACACCTTCCAACACATGGTAGACGTTGTATAGATCGCATCTACAGCGTTTTCCGAATTCTAGAGCACCGAAATCCTTTTCGTGGACCTATGCATCTCTGTCTTCCTCGATCTGAAAGTGGACTTTGACTCAATCGACCGCTCTTAACTCTGGCGGAACCACTCCCCGAAGGGTGTGTCCCTGAAATCCATTTCGATTGTGCGATCTGTTTATACTAGCAGCCGAAACCGAGTAGGAGCTTACGGCACTTTTTCTCCCTATTTCACCACGGAAAGAAGTGTTTTCTCTTTAACTTTGTCGTAGATTTCATTATTGAAACAGTTCTATCCTCGTGCGAGGATAACGGCATCTATATGCTCCCAGGTGGCATACTGTCTGATCTAGAGTATGCAGACGACATTATACTGCTAGATAAAGATTCGGATAAATTGCAAGCTTTTTCTTGAGTTACCTAAATTCGAATGCTACAGATCAGTGTGCTCCACTGACCATGACCACAAGCCATGTAGTTTCCTAATTTCCGAGCAATTTTTGATGTTCTTTTATCGTGTATGGTATTTCTTTGAAAATACTTAGTGTACTACTGGCAATTTTCACTTTGTAAACCCTCCTGTGTCACACGAATCAAGAAGTATCTTTGCATCCGGATAACGTATAAATGCTTTATTTTAGTTTGAGCAACCGTAATGTAGAAACCGATTTCCGTTGAATCTATCTTGGGAAGAATATGTTGATGTGATTATCGTGACACTTTCAAAAAGCATATCAAGCTTGATAGACTGTTAATTGACTCATTCTGCCTGTTATTGCTTACTAAAACAGGTATAGCTGTTTTCTCCAATCTGTCCGTAGTGTACTTCATGAATGTAATTCATTGAGCCCCTTAATCCCCTCCCCCATTCAGCATCCCTCAACGTCGCAAGAAGTTTTCGATAGTGACATGTGGAAAAGTTGTTCCGAAGAACTCATGTTTCCAGTGGTGCCAGACGATCCAGTTTTAGCTATTGGTGAGTCTCTGATGGATTCTAATTTGCCCTCAATACATTTCTTTAACAAACCAAATTAGTTATTCGTTTTATACAGAATATAGACTAAACTTGATAGCCATTCAAACTGTTCGCTCTCTTGTTTACCGTTAGCCCGGGAAGAAGTTCTGTCTATTCGATAATAAGCAGTCCGAGTTCGATAGACGATCCTTCAGAGTTCATCTTCACGCATATTCCTTACCTAGTTCATCTAATCAGCCAGAAGCACTAAACTCGAGCTTCGCTCTTGAGAACTCACCAATGGTAAGTCTCCTTTTACGTTCTAGGACCTTGAATCCTAGAGCCTTCGCGTGGAATACATGTGTTACTACTGCACGAGTTCAACGTTCCCGATCACGAATTTGCTTACTTTCGGGACTTTCTGAGCTTCCATTTTTATGATTATGTATTTTGGCCTCTGGTGTTTATCAGAACACAGTGTGTGGACGAATATCATACAGCACTACTTATTATGCTAGCCGAATACAAGTGATTTTCTTTAATAAGCTTTTCATTCTCTCCGCTAAGGTACCAGTTCTAAAAGTAATATAATGACGGTGCAGTTCGGTTGAAAATTTTTGAAAATTACGCGTTTCTTCTTATTTTTATGTAACATCCGGTCGTGTGGACAAACGTTTATCAAATTACAAATAACTCACGCACATAATTGATCATATATAGCTAATTCCAAATCGCACGGTTCATACTGACAGTTTCGGTCAGACATTAGCGATGGACAAGCTTCCTCATCATTCCTGTGGGGTTTAACTCGATCGATAACTTTACGGTTGGCTTATTCTTGCATTGTCTTTATGGCCCACTGCACATCGAATTCCGGTCTTTGACTGTCGCTTTGTTTCGGATTGTCTTGAACATGATGATGGACGACATTTCTGCACTTTACAGCTTGCACCTGCGCTCCTGGTTACAAGGTCTCTATCCTTGTTCCGATCTAGTTTGTTTTCCCTCCTAGCATCATTTTCCATCACAATAAATTAAAGAAAGGTGGACCCAGGAGTGATCGACTGGCTAACCATAGATTAAATAACTGGGGAAGAAAGTAACCACCTATGTAACCAAAACGAGTTCGATAGAAGAACCGTCACTGAACATTAGGTATGCATGAAATTAAGCTCCCACGTCTAACTGCAAATGTCTGACTATCTAGATTAACAGTTCCATTGCAGTTGGTTGCTCAACGCCAGAGCATTCTTTAATCTTTGAAAAAAGTTCAGTCAGGGAGAATTTAGAATAAAGGGTTTAAAAATCATGGTCACAAAAATTTAGTCTGTTTCGAGTGTAATAGACAGCTTCTGCATCATGACAGTGGTAAACCAACAAAGAGCTCACAGGGACAATAATGCGCACTGTTCAATCACCGTCGCTCAATCGCTTACACCATACGATCTTAGTCTGAAATCTACTGACTCCCCTTTGTGCTAGTGAAGTGGTAGACGATAGTATTTGTCCACCACATTATTGTGGTTTTTTCGTATGATCTGTCGTTCAAAGCTCGGGAGCTAATCGCGAATCGATTATTTGTTACCTGTTCGCTTTAATCTTATCTTCTTTGGACCACGCCTAATCCATCGGGTCCTTATGCGTTTCACCACTCCCATTCCGGGCGCTTAGGTTGCCGGTTTTCCTCACTAAACAGCAAATCCTCGTGGCTATGGGGTTTACCCCATCTGCTGTTCATCATACTATAGTGTATAATAAAAAAGTTGAATCGCATAATCACTCCACATTCGTTTTATTGTCTCATCTCAGATATTGAATCGATACTGGAAGAGCGCAACACCAATAATCATGTTGATACCGAATCTCAGGTCAACTCGAGCAAGCCGAACCATCCTCTTCATTCGTTGCCTTGCTCGACGGATATCCGGGCAGAAAATCAATTTCTGCGGGAACAACTAGCCACTTGCAGGTGTGTTTTTCTTTCTCCCTTCTATACTGCTACAATTCCTTCAGAAAGAACCTGAAAACCCATTAAAGATACTAAATCACATATGGTCCCTCTGACGCTAGGGGGATCAGATGTGAGCTTCGTGTTTAAATCTCTTTCACTTACTTTTTCACCGTCAACCTACAATCCTTCATAAAAGTTGCGTGTGCAAACGCTGCATATCCAACAGATGAGTAGGTAATCACTGATATAAATTTCGTTTAGATTAGTTTTTGAAATTATGGGCTCGACATTCTTTTACCATGCCTGATGCACGTTTTGCAAACCGGACCCTTCTCCCCTGAGAGAATTATCCTTCTCATTTTTGCTCATACCTATTTTCTCTCTTCACCACAGACGTTTACTTTCTACCCTGGCATCATCGGATGCAACCGAAATTCCGAACGCAACTGAGTCAAATCTGTTCAGCTCGATCGCTTGTTCCGATCCTAGCGACTCGGCCTACTTCTGTTCCTACGGCCATTTTGCCATTCACGCGGAAATGATCAGTAAGTGGCCGCATTCGATGGCACCATTCGGATATAAGCTCTTCGCACAGAAGCGAACCGAATATAAATATTTTTCTATAATTCCATAATCAATTGAAATGTATTTTACCCTTCACCAGGGATCACTCTTAATTTTATAGAGTGAGCCTCGTGATGAAAATGAACTACTATTCGGACGAGAAAACCAGAGACTTCAAAATTGTGCATGAAGAGTCGCAAACGTTTTCACTCGGTTAGGTGTTGTTCTAAGTTGGACAACACTTAATCTGTCCACCGTCACAATTCGATGCCAGTGAATGCGTTCGATCGGCAAATTTTACAGACCGTTGAGCACCACTGGAAGCGATCGAAACCGCGCTTCCACTAGAACCATAGAGGTCTAAGAATTCATCCAGATTTTTTCCATTTTTTTGCGTACCGTTGCCCCATTGAAATACCACATTGTCCAAATTAGTAGGTGAGACTTGCCTTTGGTGTCGCGAGCGTGCTTGTGGTTTAGCACAGACCTGTGCACTACCTGACAAGTTCTGCAAGCCCCATAGAAGAATTTCTTCGACAACGCACCATGGCAGTTCGGGTTTCTGGGTTACTTTCTGATCCCATCAGCATAGCACGAGGAGTTCCACAGGGATCCGTGCTGGGCCCTCAACTTTTCCTTGCTTCTATCAACGACCTAACGGATATTCTTGGGCCACAAACATTAATATTTGCAGACTATGCAAAAATATGGAAAACGGGGACAAAACCAGAGGACTCGCTAGAACTCCCAAAAACACCTAATGCTGCCTACCCATGGTCGATCGAAAGTGAAATGGAAATTTAATGCATCAAAATGTACGGTTTTATCCCTTCGACACAAAACTCGGTTTCCGTATTTCCCGGGAGATCAACAACTTCCGTATGTCTCGAATGAGAAGGATCTCGGCGTCATTGTTCAAGACGACCTAAGCTGTTCTTCAAACTGCTCCCGGGCGTCGTCTACTGTCATAAGACATGTTGGTTTGCTAAAACGAGTATTTGGCAAATTTGAACCTACACTGTTCCCACGATTGTTATCAGCCTACATTCGACCCCACATAGAGTACGCCATTCAAGCATGGAATCCATGGCTGCAGCGCGATCGGAAGATTCTGGAACATTCACAGAGAATGGCCATCAAAATGGTCAAGGGACTGCATTCCAAGAGTTATGCGGAAAGACTGGAATCACAACTGTACTCAACACAGTATCGCCGCATTCGAGGGGACTTGATCTTGGTTCACATGCAATCCCAGCCAACAGAACTGACAACAGAGAACGCCTACTCCAACTTTGTGCTGACCACGAATTGTTTCTGTCAAGCACGAACTTCTCGCACAAAAAACGCCACCGTCTTACATGAAGGCCGCTAACCGCTTCACAGCGCTGGGCACATCGAGTACATCGCCATCAGCCACCGCTGACGAGGATCCATCTTTACTCTTCGTCAAATCCTAGAACACAGACACTCTTTTCGTAGACCCACCATCTCTGTATTCCTAGATCTGAAGGCGGCTTTCGATTCAGTCGACCACTCTAAACTGTGGCGCTGCCTTTCCTTGAAGGGTGTGTCCGAGAAGTTTATTTCAATAGTATAATCGCTTTATACTAATAGCCGAAGTCGAGTCCGAGCTTACGGCACTTTTCACCTAAGTTCACCACGGAAAGTGGTGTTCGACAGGGTTGCCCTCTCTCTCCATTTCTATTTAACTTTTTTATACAGTTACTTCTTGAAACAGCCCTATCCTCGTGCGGAGATAACGGCATCGACTTACGCCCAGGTGGCAGACTGTNGTGAAGATTCAGGTAAGTTACAAGCTTTTCTGGATAGTTTGAGTGCTAGTGTAGCGATGTTCGGCATGCGCTTTCACCTTCAAAGTGTAAAATGCCACTACAAGATTGGGTTGGCCCGGTCTCCAACCTCACCCTAACTGGGGAAGTAGTAAGAAAGTAAACAAGTTTTTATTATCTGGACAGCTATATCCCACCTGGCGGACGCATCACAGATGAAGTGTCGGCGCGCATACAGAAAGCTCGGTTGGCATTTGCCAACTTGAGACATCTGTGGCGCTGTCGCGACATCCGGTTATCTGTGAAGGGTCGAGTGTATGTCGCAGCAGTTCGACCAGTCCTGCTTTACGGTGCAGAGACTTGGCCAGTATGGGAACAGGATAGATATAGATTATCGGTGTTCAAACACCGCTGTTTACGTCGCATTGCACGAGTCTGGTGGGGGTAACCGGACTAGCAATGCTGAGGTTAGGCGTAGAGCTTTAGGTAATCGCGGTCGTCCACTGGAACAGGTGGTCGACCTCCATAGATTACGCTGGTTGGGACATATGCTACGCACGTCACGGCGAGCGATGCTTACCGAGACAGTTAGCGGTTGAAAAAAACTGAAGGGCGGTCAAGCTAAGACCTGGCATGAGGATATGAAAACCCTAACCAGGAGACTGGGCCACAGAGGTCCCGCTAGGCTCCCTAGCTGGGGACCCCGAGATCGTGGTCACCGATGGTTAGAAACACTGAGCGATATGGCTGGGTGTCGCAAACAGTGGCGCTCATGAATCTTCATATTATTCTGGTAACTTCAGTCCATGAAAATGTGCTACCTTCCGCTCAAATCTGCTCTCAACATTCCAATCATCATTCTGCTGTTTTATTCAAAAGATAGCAACCAAAACCGGCGCACAGAAGTGCATGGTTAATGGTTGTAAGAACTGAACTGAACTGAACATTGTATGAATTGTGAATCGATTCATCTGTGCTAAACCCTGTGGTACTAGAAAAGCAACCGCTTGTAAGTATTTCTCATAATAAAACTCTGAATTTGAGTTAACCCCGGCGGTGTTGTTTCATTTAAATGTATCATCTGTTTATCAAACACTCACTGTGTGTTTATTCATTGTTAATACTCGACTCTCCTTTCTAATTCATTCTGCAGCTCACGTTTTAAACGGGACAGCACGGTCTTGATCTAACCATTTTTCAAGCGAAACTTTTATTCTTTGGCTGATAAACATTCGGTTAGTAAATGTAAACTTAATGTGGCACGTTTCATTTTATTTCTTCTACTGAAAATTTTCATTTGGATCAATTTTTCATGTTCATATATGCACGTCTGCCCATGCTCTCTTTCTCTTTTGCGTCATCTGCTTCACTCTTTTAGACGATGTGGTCCGCACCAAATCTTATCGAGATTTCATTTTATCCAATGCAAGCACACATTTTGCCGGCAAGCGCGTACTGGACGTAGGCTGTGGCTCAGGGATTCTATCCTTGTTTGCTGCCGAGGCCGGGGCTCTCCATGTTTACGGTGTGGAGGCTTCTGTGGAGATTTTCACAGCTGCTCAAGAAACTGTGATGTGAGTTTGAGTGTATTTATTTTTCGGACGCAATGTTTAGAGGCTGTTTCCTGTCTCAGCTGCATGCTAATTAACGGAAAACCAAAAGATAACAGATGTGTACACTGATGCAGTAACATCTTTAATCCGTTATATGATTATTCTGGTTCTCATTCATGTGTCAGTCGTGATTTTCTCTGTATTAGATCGAACCCCGGATATTCTTCTGTTCTTTCAGCTGTGGTGATAATAGGGGAAATACCATTTTCCTTGTAAAATTATTTTTACCAAATTTAAATTTTCGAATTTTTGCGCCGGGAAGACCTCAGTCCACACCACCGGCTATGGTTAACACTGAATAGCCTTTCACCTCAGAACTCTACTTTCGAGCTAATTTTCAAGGACATCGCTGGCTGGCTTGGAAACTGTATATAAACAGATGAGTTGTCTATAGCCATCGCCTCTAGGATAGAGCCAAGTGTACAACCTCATCTGAAGGCCTGTCTACCGTCTTCTCTCTGGTAGGGTTCCGGGATCGTAATACCCTCACGGTGCGCTCTTCCGGTCCTCTTGGGAATTGCGCTGGGTACCACATTCGGGCGTATTCGTATTGTATTCACTCGGTCGCTGGGTCGTTACGGTTTCTGCTCGCGGTCTGTCCTACCGCTCGTTCCGTTTCGGTCACGATCCCAGCTAGTCTGGTCGTGTCTTTTATCCGAACGTTACAACACTTAGTTACTTGTCTGCTTTACTTGTTTTTCTCAATGGGTTTAAACCATGGAGTTTGTCGGAAGGAGGTTGAATCTCGATTAGGCAGCCCGCTATGGCGTCCTTTAAAGGACGAAAGATGTCCACTCCTTACTTATTCCCAACTATTCTGAGTGGTCCGTCAATCCTCCGTTCTTGCGTGCCTTTTCAAACAGACCAATGATGTAGATTTTTTTCACAAACCGTGTCTGCTCATTTCCAAAAAAAACTGTATTTGCGATTTTTTATTCTGATATTCACCATTTTTGTGATAACTTTATACCACAAACCACTTCAAATTCTACGAAGGTTTTTCTCAAAGTGGTGATGCTTATGTACCTGGCCGTCCCTCGACAATTTATTCTAACGCTTTTCAGATTTAATGCGATTCAATACCTAAATGTCATTCTACCACATTCTTCTCTACACGAAACACATCGGAAACACCGTTTGTGAGCTAATTTACTTGTCTTTCCGGACGATATTTACGGGTCAGATAGGGAAATCTTCGTTTGTGGTCTAATATTCTTCTTTTAATTAAGCTCTATTGTGCCCCTATAGAATTTTCAGATCCATTATTCATCAGTGCATTGCGCGTAATTCAGCAATTGGGTTCGTACTAGTGATCGGTTACCTGACCTCACGCTCTTGATAT